AAAAAAAAAAAAAAAAAAAAAAAAAAGAAAAATCACGAGACAGGGACTTCCCCGGTGGTCCAGTTGTTAAGATTCAGCGCTTCCACTGCAGGGAGCAAAGGTTCCATCCCTGGTCGGGGAACTAAGATCCCACATGCCTTGCAGCACGGAAAAAAAAAAAAAATCATGAGACAGAAGGGCCCAAACAATACCCTGTTGGACTACAGGACCCTTCTTGAGGCTACTACACCTTCCCCTCCGTCACCTCCTGAGACAAATACCAGCTTTTCTTTGTAACAACAGCTGAGGAAAGTGCCAGGAAGTACAGGTTGAGGGAGTCCAAATTTCATCCCCAGACCTTTTTTCATCAGCTAGAAATGGTGCTGGGAGAGACCCTTCCCTTCCTGAGGCTACCCCACTGCAGCATAGCCTCGCAGCACGGCCTCTGCCTCGGGGCACCTGCTGTACTCACCCGTGTGGCTACGCTTGTGCACCATGAGCACGTTGGGTCCGATGCAGACCATGCCACAGACGTCACATTTGAGCTTGCCATTGGGCAGCCGGATGCCACCGGGGGAGTGAGGCTCTGGCCCGCTTCCATCACAGTAGCCCAGGGGCTCCGACAACGAGTCTTCCACGATCACACTGTCGTCCTTTTCCAGGAGCCTCTCATCCGGCCCGAGCAGTCTGCTCGACTCCTCATCGCTGTACATCTCCACCTTGATGGAGTTGGCTGGAGGGTGGGAGGGTGTTTAGGATAGAGACAGGCAAAGGGGGGAAACTGCTCGTGGGCCAGAAAGGCCCTCCTAAAGTCGGAAAGGCTGTCTCCAAGCCCTAAGACATTGAGGCTTTAAAAGAAGCCAATCCGGAACTTCCCTGGTGGCGCAGTGGTTAAGAATCCGCCTGCCGGTGCAGGGGACACGGATTCGAGCCCTGGTCCGGGAATATCCCACATGCCACGGAGCAACTAAGCCTGTGCGCCACAACTACTGAGCCTGTGCTCTAGAGCCCAGCAGCCACAACTACTGAGCCCGCGTGCCTAGACCCAATGCTCTGCAACAAGAGAAGCCACCACTATGAGAAGCCCCCGCTCGCTGCAACTAGAGAAAGCCCGTGTGCAGCAATGAAGACCCAACACAGCCAAAAATAAATAAATAAAATAAAATAAAATAAAATAAGCCAATTCGGGACTTCCCTGGTGGTGCAGTGGTTAAGAATCCGCCTGCCAGTGCAGGGGACACGGATTCGAGCCCCGGTCCGGGAAGATCCCACATGCCACGGAGCAACTAAGCCCGTGCGCCACAACCAGTGAAGCCCTTGCGCCTAGAGCCCGTGCTCCGCAACAAGAGAAGCCACCACAGTGAGAAGCCTGCGCACCGCAGTGAAGAGTGGCCCCTGCTCACCACAACTAGAGAAAGCCTGCATGCAGCAACAAAGACCCAACGCAGCCAAAAATAAATAAATAAATAAATAAATTTAAGAAAAAAGAAAGAAAGAAGCCAATCCCCTAAGTATCCTGGGTGGTGATATGGGGTCCTGCTGGGACCTGAAACAACCTTTTCCTCCTATTCCAACCACCAGGAAAATAGGTTTCAAGAGAAAAAAAGTTGGGGTACATGGGATGTCTTCAGTTACTGGGGAGAGGAGGAGGCTAAGGGGAGCTTTCTTCTCCACTCTCTTGTCATTAGGAAAGATGTCTGGCTTGGCCCTGGGCAGGAAGCCAGCAAGTAACAGTGGCGGGAAAATGGTCCTAGGAAGACCAAGACGGCGGGCTAAAGAAAGAGCAAAGCTGGAAGACAGAAATGGTTCACACTATCCTCCCACCCCATAGGACCAAACACCTCTCCTCGCCTCCGTAAAAATCTGGAGAGGGGGATGGAGAAGGGAGGAGCCATTGAGGAGAGAGCTTTGGCTCTAGCTCTGACCTACATTCCTGGCGATTCCAACCATTTAGAGAATGTCACAGATCCAGGGCCAGCTGAGGAGGGGCGGTCGTGGGGACCCTGTCTGGCAGGAGAATGGGGGGTGGTAATGGGGGGATCCTTCTCATCTCTATTTCCTAACTCCAGCTCACGACCATTTCTATCTACTCATTTCTCCAGCTCCAGAATTCCTCTTTGGAGCCTTTACCTTAATCCCACCCGTGCCTCTTTTAATTCCACCCTAGTCACTAGACTAGGCAGTGACCGTTCACTCTCCTCTCCGAAGTCAGGGAAACCCCAGACTGAGCTCCTGAGTCCTGTTAGAGACTCTGAGCCGGAAACCAGAGGAGGGCAGCGATGGGGAAATGGCTGCCATGGAAGGCGAACTGAGGGCACCTAACGCCAGGGAGGGCAGGAGGCTGCACTTACCACTGAGTGAGCGGCTCGGAGAAGAGTGCTGGCTGTTGGGGCTGCTCACTGAGGGCCCCACTGGGGCCCCGAGGAATTCCTTCTCCAGAGATGAGTCCCCGCTACCTTGGAGGAGAGAACAAGAGGGGAGGTGAAGTTGCAGCGCGAGCCATTTACTGTCCTTTGCCTAATCTCTTCAAAGTTCAGTTAAGTTTCACAAACATTTATCTCGTAGCCATGTACAAGGCAGTGTTGTATGCCTGGCACCATACCTTGTGCCCTCGCCAGCCTGGGTGCCCGGTGCTGACTTCCACGAGCTCAGTGGCTGCGCCTTGCCCACCCTACCTTCATCTAGGCCTGAGGGGAAGAGCATCATTGCCTGACGTCCACAGGAAGCAGGGCTGGGGCTGGGCGGGCCGGGATGGAGAGGAAAATGGGGCCTCAGGAGGGAGGTGGTTCAGGACAGACGTTCTTCCCTACTGTTCCTCTCCGGAGCCCCTGACACCAGGTTCGGGATCTGCAGCAAGGGCAGCTGAAATTGTCCCTGAATCTAATGATAATGATAATAATCATAATAATAGTAGCTAACATTTTAGTTAAAATTTTTTTCTTTTATTTTATGGCCACACCGCACGGCATGTGGGATCTTGATTCCCTGACCAGGGAGTGAACCCACGCCCCCTGCATTGGAAGTGCGGAGTCTTAACCACAGAACCGCCAGGGAATTCATAATAGCAGCTAACATTAATTGAGTACTTACTACATGCCAGAAATTGTTCTATGCACTTTAAATGAATCATCTCATTTAATCTTCACAACAACTCTGTGAAGTAGGTGCCAATATTATCTTAATTTTACAGATGAGGAAACTGAACACAAAAAAGGCTCTGTTACTTGTGTAAGGTCAAGTAGTGGTGGAACCCCAATCTGATCACAAACAGTAAGTACCCATGCCTTAACCAACACCTGTATAGCTAATTGGGAGTCACTGTTTCAGTAGGGAAGAGCTGGGCCCATTCGACTTTCTAAAATCAGCAAAAATGTGGCCACTCTAGAAAGCCTCCATCTGATATGATTCCAATCACATCTTTACTACTTGATGTTCCCTTGACAATGAAATAATCAGTTTATTCTCAATATATTCATTTTAACTTGTTCACAAATTGCTTAGTAAAAATGCTTTTTAAGAGTGTCATATATGTTTTTAAAAATCAGATAACACACCTGAAGATACGAATCATATCTTTAAAAAAAAATCCCTCCTCCCCACAATCTTCTGCACAAATATACAGGTGAAATAAAACACATGTAGCATGTAGATAAACACACACAGACACGGACACATACCATATACGTAGGTACACATAAAGAGAACATACCTACTGGGAGAAACATAGTCATAGCCTTCAACATTATCTGCTAACATGAACATGCATAGATGTGTGCACACAGGCCTAAATATGGAAGACAGACAGAGAGAGAGAGAGAGAGACAAACCCTAAAATTCATCCCTAAAGTCCACCTATTAGTATTTTACCCAATTTCCCAGCTATGCACATACTTACTTTCACAAAATAAAGATTCCATTATAAAATGGTTGGAGTCTTGGGCCTGAGGCAAGAAATCCGGAACACACCCTCCTGAGGGATCCCTCTCCAGCTTTGGTCAGTGGGAAGAAAACAACCACTCAGGACTTTGGGACCATTTCCCATTCATATCCTCTACTAAAAGTCCCATTTCCCCCACTCTATCCCATCAAAGCCTGAGGAAATTTGTTCACTACCTATCGAAGAAGCCTTATGGCTTGAAACTGAGGTTCCCCAGCTGGGGCTCTTTGGATGAGCCATGGTTATCTAAAACAAGTTGCCCTATATCAGGACCACACACATATCGTGAAGTGAGCATCTCAGAGTTGTGGGTTGAGACTTGTAGACTCAGACCCAGTTTTAAAATATGTCCTTTCAACTAAGAGTAGTACTTGCTAAGGTTAGAAGGGCTGAAAGGTTATCTTCTCATTCCTTTTCAAATGTTAGTGCTGACTTGTCCTAAATCACTGGATGTTAGTAATGGGGGAAGAACAGGGCTCTGGGCCCTGGCGCTGAGTCCTTGACCCTAAAAGGATGAGAGAGCTTGCTGGAAATCCATTGCTGGTCCCAGCCTACCAGGCTGAGGCTGCCTCTTGGGGCCTGGGGCTTGATATATGGAGAAAATATCCTTAAAGGGATATCTAGGGACACTAAGGGAAAAACACCCTTTGTGGCTCTCCCTCTTAAGGCCTGGGAACAGGAGGAAGAGCAGTTACCTCCAGAGTCACACCAGTAGTTCAACGGGCTCTTTGATGCCGTTGCCTTCCCTAGGATAAAGGTAAGAGGCAAAACAGGCTCAAGTCTACTTTTATGGGGCTAATACATAAAATAAATCCATTTCAGGGGTCAGAAAGCCTTTTGGGGCTCCAGGGATTTTGAGTTTTAGCTGGAAGGTGAAGAGAACTAGAGTCAGATTTAGGAAGTTCAGCAGTTCCTCTCTCAGCCCCAGAAACCCCAGTGAGGGAATTTCAAATGCCTGGGACTCCCAAGAAATCCCAGACTGTCAAAGCCAAGAATTAGGGCTGCTCTCAGGTCTCAGAGAAATTTTCTTGGTCAAAGTCATCACAGATTGGCTGAACCTCCAGAGGGCAAAGCCAAATCATGAGGTTCACATCAGAGGAACCAGGAGGTGGGCAAAGGGCATAAAAGCAGGAGGAAGAGAAAGGAACCAGAGCAACGTCCCACCAGCTAAATGTGTTTCCCACGTTGAGGGGGTGCAGCCCTCCGCTCCTGCTGCCCTTCCTCCATCCCTTCAAAGAGTGGCCACCTAGGGAAGAGCCGTGAGGTTCGAGAGCCTCCACACTTCTCTGCAAGGGACCTCATCCTAACCGCCTTCCTCTTCTTGACCATGGGTTCCAGGGGGCAGGATGCTAGACTGCTAGCAGGGAAGAGTGGGGTCAGGAGCAAAGAAAGACGCCCATCCCCAGCTCTATTGTGGGAAGGAGGCTGAAGTCCCTCGGATCTCAGTTCCAGGCTGAGGCATCTGCTGCCAGGGCTTCTCTTTACCTCGATTCTTTCTATTGCCCATTCCCACCCCAGCCCGTCTCGGCATTGGCATTTCACCCCAGGCAGCTCTACATCTGTCCCCAAGGCCTAATCAAGATGTCACCACAAGCTCCCACTGTCCAAGTCGCAGCCTTCGCTTAGCAACACCAAACACCATTTCCCATCCTCCGCAAGTGTAAGGAGGAACGCCCCCTCCCCTTCTACACACACAGCCCCCGTCCTCTCCCTCTCCTCAGGCTTGGGAGCTGTTACTGAATTGGCTCCCTAGCCCCAGCGCCCCCCTTCCCCCCTCCACTAGCCACCTTCTGCCTGAACTTACATTATCCTTCCCTTGCCGGTGAGACCCTGGGGTGCAAACGCGGCCGCCGCCTTGGAAACGGCGAGGGAGTGCGGGTGGTGTGTGCATGTCTGCGTCTCGGTGGCAGGCAGGGGTGAGCCCAGCCACTCACCTTCCAGGAAGCGTGGATTCCTGGAAGTGAGGGGAACCGCCGTCATTTCGCAGGCAGCGGCAGCGGCACGGTGAGCAGGGGCCCACGGCTGCAGCCAGCAAGAGCTCAGCCCAGGGTGTGTGTGTGAGCGTGTGTCTGTGTGTGTGTGTGTGTGTGTGTGTGTGTGAGAGGGAGAGAGAGAGAGAGAGGGAGGGAGAGAGAGAAGCAGCACAGCTTGGATGTGCCTGGGGAGGGGGCTGGAGAGAATGTGTATGTGGTGACGGGGGCTAGGCTACAGCATCCCTTTCTCAAGCCAGTGAAGGGCTGGGGTTGGGGAGTCCACAGGGAGGGAGGCAGATGCCGTTGCCCTCGTGCCCAGCAGACAAAGAGGAACTGCACAACAAATGCCTGAGAGAGACAAGAGTGTGTGCAAGAGAGAGAGAGATGGATGGGCCCACAGGGTTGGGGGAGAAAGGGGGGCCCCCAGGGAAGGCCCAATCCTCTGCCAGCTGGGGAAGCCAAGGCCTCAGAGGTCATGGGGCCCAGGACAGCGGGCAGCTTCAAGGCTCTCAGATCGGCAGAGAGCCCCTCCCCCACCGAACTCAGGCTCTCGTATCCCTCCTCTCCTTCCTCCTCCAGGAGGGAGGTCGCTCTCCAGATCTGGGGACTGACAGCCTCCCCCTTCCCAGCAGCTAGAGGGCCCTGCACAGTCTGATCTCAGGCTCGTGTTGCTCTGTGGCCCTGAGCCCTTTCAGATTCCAGGCAAAGTACTGGTATAGTCTCCCCACCTCCCCTCCCCTCCTGTGCCCCTGGGGCCCCAGCAGCCGACAGCCCTGGCTGAATCCGCCCTCTATCAAGACAAGGCCTCTGCTCCCTTCCCTTCCAGAGGAGCTGCTCACTGACGTGCTGACCTACTTTGGAAGACTAGATTTTCTGATTCCAAGAATTTGGGGGTGGGAGGGGCCATGAAACTTTGGGCTGTCTACCCCTGGATCCCTTTCTGCCAAGGTTCCCTTAAACATTTCAGTCCCAGAAAACTTGGGACAAGCACTGCTCAGTCAGTTAATTGCATGAGCTGCGTTTGAGCAACTCAGTTTCCCTTGAAAGATAGGGAATGGGGGTGGGGAGAGCACCTGTGTGGTAAATTAATGGATTCCTCCTTTCTTCCCTCTCTTCCCCAGGAGGGAATGACCTGCACCTTTAGAAAGAGACAGGGGAAGAAAAGGTGGATTTTCTGAAATAGGTTCTGTGTGGTGGGAAAACTTCTTCGAAGAACAGGAGAGATACACCCCCTTCATCAACTGGCCAGGCACGTGAAGGCCCCCAGGTGTGGAGGCGGAAGAGCTGTGATGACTGTGAGGGGGCCGCCACACACTTTAGGAGGGGTGTGCACTGCAGCCTTTCCCACTGCTTCCACATCAGTCCGGGAGAGAAGGGTCAACGAGGGGCACTCAGGCACCCCTCCCGTGAACTGTCTCAGCCACGCCCAGTCCTGCAGGGGCTGCTTTTCAGTGCTTATGTTAACCCTGCCTTGATTTTCCCCTGTCCCTCTCTGAGGTACAATAGCTGCTGACATCCAGAATTCTCAAAACACAGATGAGGGGTTTCTGGCCTCCACTTTCATTCAAAAACCATCCTGTGCAGAGGACTCTTCTTATGTAGGAAGGGCCACCCTGCTGAAAGCAGGGAAAAGCTTGGTTTCATAGCACAGTGAAGCCAACACCTTCAGAAGTTTTCCTCTAATATCCAACATTCTCCAGAGACAGGACTGAAAAGAGCTCCATGGGATTTCCCCAGCCGGCTTCCTAGCTTCTCATTTGCCTGCCTTAGGGCAGGAACTTCTCCATCTGAGTGTTTCCCAGCACCAGTGCAGGGTCCTGAGAACAGGTGTTCCTCAATAGTGGTTTTCTGAATAGGCTTAACTGAGCAGGAGGTAGGAGGATTGGCTGGTTCCTCAGAAAGGCCATGACTTTAGTTCCAATAAAGTCTCTTTCAACTAAGTCAGTCCACTTGATCCCTGTTACTCTGTCCAGCATGTAACAGGTATCAAATGCCTGTACCCATTCCAACGCCTTCCCTCCTTAAATGAGAAAGGGGTCAGAGTCAACTTCTTACCTTGACATTATGCAGGTGTTGTCAATGACTCTCATATGTGTGTCTGACCCATCTTGCTATCTCCCTTAGCGCATGCCCATAATTCCTCCATTGGTCCCACTTTAAGGTAAAAAAATAAACTATAGGTCATTTCTACAATGGTGCCTGGATTACTGACGGGGATATGCATCACCTCAAAACCCAATTCTGGCTCCCTTACCTCTTACAATCATTTCCTGCCCTAACATTCTAATGGTCCAAAAAATGATTCCTTCCATCGTAGAGACAAACTCTGTCTTAGGCCCTTTCCTACACCCTCAGAGAGAGAGCCGGATGAAGTTCCTCATTTCTTTTCATCTTGTGAAACTCTAAGAGGATCCTGATTACTTTCATATCCCTAAAAGCCACCCATACTACAAGCAGTGATCTCTTCTGCCTCAGTAAGAGTATCTGGCAGGTATAAAAAGCTACGACGGGGCTTCCCTGGTGGCGCAGTGCTTGAGAGTCCGCCTGCCGATGCAGGAGACGCGGGTTCGTGCCCCGTTTCGGGAAGATCCCACATGCCGCGGAGCGGCTGGGCCCATGAGCCATGGCCACTGAGCCTGCGCGTCCGGAGCCTGTGCTCCACAAATGGGAGAGGCCACAACAGTGAGAGGCCCGCATAACGCAAGGAAAAAAAAAAAAAAAAAAAAAAAAGCTACGACGTTATGATCACCGAAAGGATTGGGGGAGAAGTGGGCTCTCTACCTCTCCTTCACAGGTGTAAGCTCTTGGCCCACTGGCTGAATTCAGACCATAGATAAATTTGGCTTCTTGCCCCATGGAACACTTTTTAAAATATGGTGTTATTATTTTTAAATGGAGACATTTCATATAAAATCCTGATTTCTGATTTCTTTTGAAAAGCTAGAAGTTTTGGCCATACTGGATACACATTCCCACATGGCAATGCCTGTTGGACCCTGCAGAGCTGCTGCTCCTTGAGGTAGGACATGTGCTCTCCAGTCCATGACAGTCCCCATCATTCTCTTCTGCTCATTATCCAAAGCCAGTTCACTCTTTTACATACACACCTGGCCCCTGCAGGCCTCTGAGGTTTGAAACCTGGCTCTGCTCTCTAGCTGGCTGGGACAGGATGTTGTGTTGTGTTTAGCTGGTGACCTCAAAGCATAGAAGAAGGAATCTTATCTTCCTTCTGTCTCTTTGTTTCAAATCAGTCCTCTCTCTAATAGTCTCCACTCATACTCCTCTCCTATTTCCTTCTCCTACTCCTATCCTCCAAGATGTCTGGGGAGAGAATCACTTTATAGGGAATGGAAAATGATCAAAATAAATGCACACTACCAAGAGTGAGTGACAGCTCTGTGACCAGGGCACTCAGAGGTCCTGTGCTAGGCTGCAGGCTCTCCACTCTCCTCCACAGGGGAGCATCTGCTCCCAGCCCCTTACAAACAATGCACAAGAGGGCGTACCAGACATATAGGAGCGGCCATTGCTGTCTTCTATGTCCATCTTAGAGAGATTCTGTTGGAAGAGAAAACAGCTACTATTAGAAGCCAGATCTGGAAAGGGAGTAGGTTTCTCTCTAACATTCTGGAGTTAGCAAGAACCCTAAAGGATCACTTAAGTGTGCTCTGACCCTATCCTAAAGAAGCAAAACCTCATACTTTGTCCTGGAGAGAAAGACGATGTACCCTGACTTACAAACCCCAGGGTCTCCTCCAACCCCCAACTTCTGCAGCCTTCCCCAGTCTCTCAGGTGGAAACACTGTCTTATTCTACACTGGTCCCTGATTGTGTTGTTTGGAGAGTAGACCCTCTCCCTGTAAGTGGAGCTGATGGTGTAGGAAAGGAGACAGTTTACAGCTCAGCTCTCAAGAGGCAAAGAAACAACCCCATAGAGGCTCTAAACCTTGTTAAGAATGGGGTAGCAACAGGAGGAAGAAGCTAGATTCAGTCATTCAAGGGATACTTTTTTGGGTGGAAGGAGGGAGGGGGACAGGAAAGTAGAAGATAGAGGAGAGCAGCCCACCTCAAGTTCAGAGAGGAATCCTCTACTGAAGGTGTAATAGTCAAATTAAACCTTTAAGTGTTTTCCCCCTTCTTGTCAATTACTTTGCTATGTTTATTTTTTTAAAAGGGGAGTTGGGGTGGGAACCTGAATTTAAAATGCAGGTTAGTCTATTTGAGGGAAGGCAAACAGTAATTGGCAGTAGAGTATTAAACAATCAAGAACTGAGGATAATTAAAAGTGATAATTTGTTGCAATGAATTATCTCAGGAGCCTGTGGGAGGAGAAAAAAACATTCTATTTGGTAGAAATTTACATACATCCAAAATTGATTTCACCAGTCATCTTATGAAAAATAAATACCCCAGGGGCAGATTTGGGGGAGCCAGAGTGGGGCGGGGGGAACAGCCTGAGCTGCCACCCGGATTCTTGGTCTATTTGAAGGATCTCACTGAGGCAGATGGGTGGAAATCTGGTTTGCTGGTAATACTATATTGATAGAGCTGGGGATGGGGGCTCTGGAGGGCACACAGGGGAAAAGTGTCTATCACCCTGTCTCCCTCTCACCACACTCCAAGTCATTCTTGTCTAGTGCTGAGAGACATCATACTCTAAAAAGTCTCATGAGAAAGCCTGACACACGGGCTCTCCTTCACTTCGCAAAGCAGCTCTCCCTAGATTTCATTAGAGAGATTTCTAGTCTCACCTAGGACGCCTGGGTGTGGAAGAAATAATTCTCCAAGTTTATTTTCAACTCCTCTTTTCTTGACATCCTCCCCGGGATGGACTGAGCTTTGGGACCAGACTGCTAGACCAAGCCACAGTAAGACGCAGTTCCTTGAAGGTTCCCTTAGGGGCAATGATGAGAAGAGC